CCGTACTTGTGATGTAGGCGGGACCGAGAGCTGGGCCTCCCCAGACGATCTTAATGTCCTGGCTGGTTCATAGGAGGAGATCTGTTCGGACATCCATGCCCTGGATCTAGAACCTATGCCAATTGGGTTCTGGATCCAGGGCATGGATGGGATCCAGAACCCATGCCAATATATGTAACAGACTTAGAAACATTTGAAGACAATACTGTATCAAACTGCAATACAGGCAGGGTGGGTGGCATGGCACTTGGCAAGCTCACTGGGACACCGGAATGAAGCCTACATGGCCACTCTAGTCAGGCCCATCCTCAGCCAATGAGATTGAATCAGCTGGCTCACTCTCATTGGCTGCAAGGACCAGGAATGCTCAAGATACGCAACTCTGCAATCCCTACCCTCCTCCGATAGTAAGTTGTGCTGGGTACCGGAGTACACAGGTGTTAAGGGGTGTACACAGGGGCGGCTCAACCCATTACGCAAAGTAAGCATTTGCAGTATAGTTGATTTTGCCCAGGGACGCTCTTGAGGTGCTCTTGGGGGAAAATAGACCTTGACATATGCGAGTTGTAGTTACTGGGATGTATAGTTCACCTGCAATCAAAGAGCATTCTGAACTCCACCAATGATGAAATTGGTGGCACACCTAACAAATATGGCACACCTAACTCCCATGACGAACAGAAAATATATATCAGTGATTGGTTGGGGAGGGGGGGGCAAAATACTGTTTGCTTACCATTTAAAATTACCTAGGGCCGCCTCTGGGTGTACAATAACCTATGTTTACTACATCACAGAAACTAGAAAATACTATGTGTGTGTGTGTTAATTTATCAGTAACTAGCAAATCTCTGGTACACATTAGTAACAAGACTTAAACCATTTTTGTTGAAGTAAGCATGGCATACTACTGGTTGTAGGGAGTGTATAGATAGATACGATAATTAAAGATGTGTTAATACTAAAATAAACATAATGCTTGATATGTCTGGTGATTGGGGCCAGTCATGAAGGAGGGGGAGGACAGTTACAGAGAGAGGAACAAAATATTGCAGTAATATCTGACCCTTAAATCCAAATAAATATATACTTGATTATATTTGTTTATAGATCTTCTTCTTTATGTGAAGAAGTGAAGACATAGGAGGCCAGGAGACAGTTCCACCTTGTTTCCTGTGCTATTCTAATATATAATATAATATAATATAATATAATACATTGTATTGTATATACATATAATATTTATAATATTATAATGTAATACAGTATAATACTAATAATAATATGATATTACAATTATATATTTTATATTACACTTGCTGTACCCACCACGCATTGCTGTGGCCAACCTTCCCTCGCTCTTTGTCTCCTTCTTTCTTTGGGGGGAGATGTAGTGCATGCACACACACACACACACACACACACACACACACACACATATGGGTGTGGATAATATGGTATTGTCTATGTTGAAAGGAAGTTGTAGAGAATGCCTACATGGATGTTAATTTTACTATAATTCCTCAACTCTCCCCTCAAATACACACAGTCACGTGGGAAATAAGTGGCTCTGCTGGAGTGCATGTCTTGAGGGGTTATTGTGGGGATGATCTTGCATGTGCATTAATTCCGCTATATTTTCACAACTCCACACACCAATACGCACTCACTGTTGCTCTGCCAACATGTGTATGTTGCCAAGTTGTAAAAGATAGATAGATAGAATGATTTTCAATTCATATAGCAGTTCAAAAACATGCAAATGTGAGTAGAGCAATAGGTACCACTCTGGCAGGAAGGTAAGGGCGCTCCATGCAGTCATGCCAGTGGCCACATGACTTTGGAGGTGTCTATGGACAACGCCGGCTCTTCAGCTAAAAAATGGAGATGAGCACCAGAGTCCCAGAGTTGGACATGACTGGATTTAATGTCAGGGGGAAACCTTTAGCTTTAACCTATATACACACACACAGTGTGGATATGCTATTGTGTGTTTTGTTTCATGAACAAATTGTGGGACTATAGATATCCTATGCTACCTTCCCATCTGTCCTCCCTCCCTGACAGGGGCAATCCCCCCCAGCTCCTGGCTCCCCCTGCTTTGCTTGACTTCACCATCTCCACCAAGTTGCAACGGAAACGACTGTGACAGGCTCTGAGCCTGGGGTCCTCTCTCTCTCTCTCTCTCTCTCCCTCTCCCTCCTTCCCTCTCCCTCTCTATATATATATATATCCCCCAGGCTGTGCAAGGCGCACACTCCCCTCTTTCCCATGCTTCCTTCTTTCTTTCCTCCCTTCTTCCTTTCTCCCTTTCCTCCGTCGCCACAGCAGGCAAGGAAGAAGGTGATGAGGAAGGGGTCATGCTGCCATGAGGGAGGAAGCTCCCTGCCACGGTGAGGGAGGGAGCTCGGTGCCGCTCGCTGTGCCAGTTCTGTTTGTATGGCCGTGCATGCGGACGTGCTGGGCTCTCAATGCTGTAACGGCCACTCTTCCCTTGTGTGGATTTTTGGGGTTTCTGCTGTTTCTTTGGGGGTTTTTTTTAGTGGAGGACATAAATTGGGTTGTTAGGTGTATCGTGTCCAAATTTGGTGTCAATTCCCCCAGTGGTTTTTGAGTTCTGTGAATATCACAAACGAACATTACATTTTTATTTATATAGAAGAGTAGTGATGAAAAATGGAGAGATACTTGTTTATGTTAATACATTGCCATACCCTATAAAGATTAGTTATTATACTGTCAGTTAAATATGGACCAGGATCTAGATGGGGATTAGAGTTTAGAAAGGCATGAACAATTTTCCTCATGTTCCAGACATTTGATTACCCCACACACGACACGTCAGAGACACATCCTCTTGAGTCCTGTGATGCTTAGCGACAGAAAATTGGTGACAACCTTAAGTGGAAAAACCAAACACAATAACTTGTATCCTAAAACTTCTCTCAAGGTGTAAATCTATTTCATTTGATCCCAAGAATATTTTAACATGTATTAAGGCCAAGCAGCACATTGTGTGTTTAAAGAGGTCACTTTATGTTTAGATTCCCACTTTATGAGAGAATCTGATCCAGAACCGGGGAGCACATCTGTTTCCTCTAGAAAATTGTCCCCCACCCCAGCTGCTATTGGATCCCAAAGATTCCCTTTATTGCAAAAAAGATAAGTAGTTTCAGAAGGGACAGCAGTATGGTAAGGATCTGTAGTATAAAACCTCAGAATAAAAATGTAAACATTAAAAAGAGCATAAAGAAAGTAACGTATCATTTGCCCTTGTGGAATCTGAGTTTTTCATCGACTACTGTAACTTCCATGACAGTATTTCAGCAAATCCAAGTGATCAGTTTGAACATTCACCTGTCCAAAAGCTTAAAATAAAAAAATTAGAAGAACACATTAAAATTTTGTAGGTTGTTACTTGTTGCATGACAACAAAAAAGCAAAGCAAAACGAAACCACACCAAGCCAAACAAAATCCTTCAATGAACATCCCAATTCTGCATGATGATAGTTACAGTCATACACTTTAACCAAGTAGTTGGTTGATAGTATTATATTTGTGGCTCAGAATTCAAAATTTTCCACTGTAGACAATCATAAAATCAGAAAGTTAGGATAATCAACTACATACAGTGGGCTAAATCCAGTGTTAGTCTTATCTAGAATAGATTCATTGAAATAAGCAAGACTTGTTAGTCAACCATTAACTTCAGTCTCATTCATTTCAGTGGGTTTATTCTTGGTAGGACTAGTATTGGGATTGGCCCAATAACTGGAATAAGCCTAATGGAAATCTTCAGGAAAGCAAACAGGGAAAGGAGACCGCTTGGCATGCAAAGCAGCGCTAGTTCTTGCTCAATATACTCTTGAGACTTCTCTCTACTGCTTCATCTAATTCCTCTTCCAACTCTTCCTTCTTGGACATGGCCAATTTAGACTGGTAATCTTTGACTATTTGGTCTATGTAGGGTGCGCTTTGAGTCCCGTGTAGCATTAATGTCCATTCCTTGAGGACTCCCTTCTGAGGCAGGATGCCAACAAACCCAACTTCCAGAACCCAAGTACCTCTGGGGTCTTCTCCCCAAGAATGTGTTGTCATGAAGGGCCATTTGTCAAAGCCCACCTTGGAGTCGTCATCTCTTGGGCGCCGACTCAGTAAAATGGATTTAGTTCCCATTGGCGATGTCATGTTGATATTCAAGTCCCCTCTCCTGGTAGAGTTCACAGTGATAACCGCCTGAACATGTTCGAGGTAACGCACAAAGTTCTCTTTCCCCTCACAAGCGTCTGTGGTAAGAGTCAAAACCAACTTGCCAGTTGATGGTATTTTCCTAGGGTGTATGAATAAAACAAATAAAAGAGATTTGAACGAATGCTTCCATAATACAAATATATTTATTGGAGCATACATATTAAAAATTGAAATACGAATATAGGCATTAGTGTAACATGAGCAAACAGACAATGGTTACTTTGCATCAAGCAAACTACAAAATGGTAGAGTGGGGTGGGGTGGGGGTTATGTGATGAAAAATGGAAACCTTTGTGTCTATGGGGTGAACATGAAATAGTGAAATTATTATTATTATTATTATTATTATTATTATTATTATTATTATTTGAACTTATATGCCGCCACTCCCCTGGGGCTCGGAGCGGCTTACAAGAACAGGCTAAAATCGAACACAATTTAAAAACAATTTAAAACAATTTAAAAACAGCAATATCAGAGATCAAAGGCCCGTCAAAACAGATATGTCTTACATGCCCTGCGGAAAGCTGATAAGTCCCGCAAGGCATGGACTTCAGGTGGCAGAGTATTCCAGAGTGATGGTGCCACTGCTGTAAAGGCTCTGCGTCTGGTTGCTGTTAGACGCAAGGTCTTGACACTGGGAATTTCCAATAGATCTTGGTCCTCAGAATGGAGGGATCTCTGGGGTTGATAGGGTGAGGTGGTCCCTCAGGTACATCGGCCCCAGACCATGCAAGGCCTTAAAGGTGAGTACCATCACTTTGAAAGTGATCCGGTGCTCAATGGGTAACCAATGCAGCTGCAGTAAGATTGGGGTTATGTGGCATCTCATCGGAATTCCCGCAAGAAGCCGAGCAGCTGCATTTTGTACCAACTTGAGCTTCCGGATCACCGACAGAGGAAGGCCAATGTAGAGGGCGTTACAGTAGTCCAGTCTTGAGATGACCGTAGCTTGGATCACCGTAGCTAGGTCGTCCCTGGACAGGTAGGGGGCCAGCCGTCTAGCCTGCCGCAGATGAAAAAAGGCGGTTCTGCTAACGGCGGAGACCTGGGCCTCCATCGTCAGCAGAGGGTCCAAAAGGACTCCCAGACTCTTTACCAATGATGACGGGCGTAGTGCCTCGCCATCCAGGGTAGGCAGCTGGATGTCCCCACTGCCCGGTTGACCCAGCCATAGGATCTCCGTCTTTGCTGGATTCACCCTCAATCTGCTGGCACGCAGCCATCCAGTAACGGCCTCGAGGCACTGATGAAAACAATCAGGTACAGAGTCCGGTCGACACAAAGGAAATGAGACACCTACACTGTGCAGGCCACGAGCTTCCAAAGAGGGAGTATAAAGAAGATAACACCCCCAATCTTTCATTCACAGTTATGCCCAGCAATACATCTGGAACAAGTGAGAGATTAGAGGCTTGGACTGGATGTAGAATTAGATATGGTAGTGTGCAAGTGGAAATTTTGAATGATTGACTTTGAGAGATCAAGAATTGTGATACTTACATACACCTGATTTGATTTATTTTTAAAATTTTACTTATTTTTGTTCACTTTATAACCAATCCAATGCATTAAAATGTCTCAATAACAATTGATGGTTAAAAAGAATGTGTAAAACCAATCAAAACAACTGAACACCAACAAAGAAAAAACATTAAAATGTAAACTGTATTTTTTGAATGGCAGAGATGAAAATAGTGGGGAGTTCCAAAGACTGGAGTCACTGACCAGAGTCCTTTTGGGTCATTCTGGATGCCTAAACAAGAGCTACACATTCACAGCTGTTTCATATTCATGATCCCTGCATATTTCCTCACATGGGGACCATTAAAGTCTCCCATTCGTCACTGTACAGGAAGACCTAAAGTTACAAACATCTGACTTACAAATGACTTATAGTTAAGAATGGGGGTGAGACAACAGAAAGTGAGAGAAATCTACCCAATGAGGAATTCACTCCTGGAAGAGTGATCATGGGGAAAAGGTGCCTCCACTGAAGATATATCATCAATCCTTGTTTCCACAACAAGCCACATTTTTCAAAATGCAACTATCACAGGGACAGAAAGTGAGGTGAAATCTTCTGAACAGGAGCACAGAGAGCAAAACAAGCACCACAGAGGTGTATTGTTTGTCACTTGGCCTGTTGTTCTGGTACAGCCGTACCAGGAGCTCCAGCTTACCTTTCCATTTGTGGATTGTTGCATGTATTTTAAGGTTCTGTGCATTTGCAGTTAGATGGCTTTCCTTACTTTGCAGTTATTGGGTCAATGTCCTGTCAATTATCATTAGGTTCCCTAGTTCTGCCCCCTTTTTGGGTTTTGGAGGGAATAGGAGCCATTTTAGGTCAGTCCACACAGAGAAGTCTTTCTTACAGGACTTAAACCAGGACCTCCTGTAAAAGGCTTCATCATTTACAGCTTGGTCGGGGAGAAATAGCCCCATAGCTTAGCCAGGGATATACAGTCTCAGCACAGCCTTTGCTGGGGACTTTACAGTTTGCCGAGGAACTTACAGCCTCTCAGCTTTCTTGCTAGGGATCCAGTCCCACAGCGCTTCAGCCAGCCATCACTGGGAAGTGAACATCTTCCTCCTCCTGGAAGTTCTGCAAAGGTCTCTGTTCGGTAAGGGCCCTTCGTGGCAACCATGTAGGGGCCCCACGCCAACAGAAGAGAAGACAGATTGCCCAGGTAGAGGTCGGGGATTTTCCCAACAGTGAAGGAACAGTTGCCTGTCCTTGGGGGCAAGATCGAGAAAGCCAACAGTTTATTAAGAAAACTTTGAATCCAATTGTTGAAGCCATGTTATTTGTTCAGTAATAAAGATTTTGTTGCATCTTTAAAGACAATCTTTTCAGGAAAATCCAAAAAAAAACACCTCTCTCTGAGGCAACCCGGCGTCCCGTTGGGCTCACAAAAATTAAGTCCTGTTTACAGTCTTTTATAGGAGCCCAGCGCGCGACAGCACACCTGTATATCTCAGCCATTGAAGCAATTTAAAGATATCTAGGTCACAGCCATCTTTTGTATAATGCAACTTCCCACTTCAGTGTGGATCTTTCAACATAACAGTGTTAAAAGAACTTGAGAGTGGGGAAGGAAAAGCAACTGACATCTTGATCTATATGTGGAACGGGAGTGCTCTGGGATTTCACATATCCAAACTCTTCTTCAAAAGAGATTAAACTCAAAACCATGAGTGGCCATTAATGAAGTGAACAGAAGTTTTAATCTAATGTTTTATCTTTTGTATAATGTTGTTTGTAATGTGTTTTGTATGTTGTCGGCATTGAATTGCTGCCGTTATAAGCCGCCCTGAGTCCCCCTTCAGGGTTGAGAATGACAGGGTAGAAATGTTGGAAATAAATGCTCCTTACAGGGAGAGGTCAACCCTCCTGTTTAAGGAGGTCCATTGGCTGCAGTTCATTTTCTGGGCCCAATTCAAGGTGCAGGTGCTTACCGACAAAGCCCTAAATGGTTTGGGACCCGTCTACCTGCATGACCGCATTTCTGTATACGAACCCACACGATCTGGAGAGGCCCTGCTCTCGATCCCACCTGCGCCGCAAGCGCGATTGGTGGGGACGAGGGACAGGGCCTTCTCGGGGGTGGCCCCTCGACTCTGGAACTCATTCCCCAAGGACATCAGGCATGCCCCATCGCTAGCAATCTTTAGAAGGAGCTTGAAAATGTGGATCTTCCAGTGTGCCTTCCCAGAATAAGGAAATCCAAGCAATGTGTCCCAAATGCATTTTATGAGAGATTTAGGATTGTCTGGACGCCCTCCTATCCCTAAAATATCTATCCTATTGGACATGCCCAGCATTTTAACCATTACATTTGGCCCTGCCTCTGGTTTTTAATGCATTGTGATATTATTGTTATTGTTTTTGCTTTGTTTATGAGTTTATTTATTGTTGTATTGTTGTCGTTGTTGTTTTATTGATGTATTTGGGCTTGGCCTCTTGTAAGCCACACCGAGTCCTGCAGGAGATGGTAGCGGGGTATAAATAAAGATTTATTAATAATAATAATAATAATAATAATAATAATAATAATAATAATAAATAAGTAGCGTCATGTCATTTCCATGTCCAGTGATTCTCTACATTTGGTCTTCTAGGTGTTTTGGACTTCTGGGAATTCTGGGAGTTAAAGTCCAAGCCACCTGGAGGACCAAAAGTTGAGAACCCCTGATTTACAATATAGAATTACTGCAGTTTGACGCCACTTTAACTACCATGGCTCAATGGTAGGTAATCCTAGGACTAGTAGCCTGATGAGGCACCAGCACTCTTTGGCAGAGAATGCTAAAGGCCTTGTAAAATTACAGCTCCCATGATTCCATAGCATTGAGTCATGGCAGTTAAGGTAGTGTCAAACTGCATTAATTCTACAGAAGACTTAACGATCTCTGGCAGCAGATCCTCCACATTTTGCAGTAAATTTGAATCATTATCTTGTTATTTGGGAACGAAACATTTCCCAAGATTTTTTAAAACATTTTTTTCAGAACTAATTGTTGATGGGCCAAGGGCGTCTAACATTCTCTTTATTTGTTACTGCTTCTGTTACTGCAGTGTTTTAAATCACTTTTAACTCTATTTGTAATTTAATTCTATTTTAATTTTTGCATGTTACTGATGTTGAATTTTGTTGGTACAAATAAACAAATCTATTTTAAAACTAGCTGTACCCGCCAAGCGTTGCTGAGGCCAACCTTCCCTCCTTCTTTCCTTCCTTTCCTCTATGTCTTTCCCTTCCTATTTCTCTTCTTCTTTCTTTCATCTCTACCTGTTTCTTCCCCCCCTTTCTTTACTCTTTGGTTCCTTCCTTCCTTCCTTCCATGTCTTTTGTTCCTTCCTTTTTTCTTTCCCTCCCTCCTTCTCTCCTTCCTTCCCCCCTTCATTCCTTCCCTCTTTCCCTCCTTCTCTCGTTACTTCTTGACTGTCCCTGCCATTTAATTTGTATTATATATATGTGTGTGTGTGTGTGTGTGTGTGTGTGTGTGTAACGTATTATATAGTAATTTATATAACAATTGTATTTATATCTTACATAGAAAGAAGGAAAGGAAGAAAGGAAAGGAAGGAGAAGGAAAGAAGAAGGAAGAAAGGAGAGAGGTGAAGAAAGGAGGGGGGAGGAAATGAAGAAAGGGAAAGAAGGAGGAAAGGAAGGAAGGGAAGGAGAAGAAGGAAGGAGGGAGGGACAGGAAGGAAGAAGGGGGAAGGAAAGGAAGGGGAAGGAAGGAAGAAAAGGAAAGAAAGGGAAGGAGTCCTTTCGGGTGGAGTGTGGCAGAGGCATCTACCTCCCGGTCTGGATGTTAAGAGAGGAGAGAGAGAGTTAAATGTGTGCTCAGAGAGAGCCGAGCAGGTCAAACAGACAGAAAGGAAAGAGTTAAAAAAGAAAGAAGGATCTACAGAAAGTCCCTCCCTCACCTGCTGRCCTTCCTCGCCTCCTCCTCCCCCYCTTCTTCCACTCATMGGCCCCTTCCTCTTCTAACAGGGAAAGGAGGAGGAAGAGGAGGAGACTGCCCTCCTGACATAGCAGGGAAAGAGAAGGGGCTCCATGCTGCAAGCCTCCACCTCCACTCCACTCTTGCTTGTGTGTGGGTGTGTGGCTGTGCACGCATGCCTGGCTTCAACGGCCGRCTRTTTCCCCGCGAGGAGGAGGAGGGGGCGTAGCCATGGGTCTCTTTGTAGACATGCAGTTTCTCCTTTGTGGACATGCAGCTCAGAAGTCCTTTCTGCTTTATGTTTTTGTGGTTTTTTTGAGTGGAGAACATACATTGGGTTCTTAGGGGTAACGTGTCCAAATTTGGTGCCAATTGCCCCAGTGGTTTTTGAGTTCTGTGAATACCACAAAYGGACATTACATTTTTATTTATATAGATGGAGAGGGACTGGGGACTTTGGAGGGTTCCGCAGCTTCAAAAAGGGGTCACAAAGGATGTGTGCTAGCCACAGGCCATTTTTTTTCTACTCTTGAACAAAGACACAGAAGCCTACATTTCAATGTGTGCATACTACCAACAGGATTCCTGCTTAGAAGTTACAGAATTTCCAAGCAAGCACAGCTAATAGCCATTCTGGCTGGGAGGTTTGGGGAGTTGAGGTCCAGTAAAGAGTTGTTTTTCAATCTCTTTCCCAGCCTTGCTTCAAAAATTGGCTCTGAGAGAAAAAACAGACTCTCTTCTGACAAGCACTTCTTTAAATAGCTTGGACATGCTATTGTGAGTCCATTAGAGAAGCATGTACCTGCTATTCTGCTCATTTAGTTTGATTAGCCTATACTTGCTCTGGTAATAAGGGCAGAGTGTAACTACTGGTCCTTTTCTCATTACATTTATATAGGCTGCCTATTCCTTCATTGCCTTTCCTTATTCCATCACCAACGTACCATGTACACCAGCCGTACTGAAATGTTATTGGCAGCAACTTCTCATGGGCTGTCAAATATAGATCCTGTTAACAATTCCTAATGTGATTTACAAAACAAAAAATCACACTGGAAAGCAGAAGATTTTGCAATAAGCAGAGCTTGAAAAGGTTATTTTTTAGGACTACAAGTCCTAGAACTTGCTGGCTGGTACATATATATTCTAAGAGCTATAGTTTAGAAGTAACAAAAGAAGATTTTTGAAAGTTTCTAGCCAAAACTAGACAGGAAGCTCATTATATCAATAATTTATTTATTTATTTAAAACTTTTGTATCCTGATCTTCTCACCTCCATAGAGGGACTCAGACAGTTTTACAGCAAGGATTCAATGCTTTTTTTTTTTTTGTCGTGTCAGGAGCAACTTGAGAAACTGCAAGTCGCTTCTGGTGTGAGAGAATTGGCCGTCTGCAATGACGTTGCCCAGGGGACGCCTGGATGATTTGTTTTTATCATCCTTGTGGGAGGCTTCTCTCATGTCCCCGCATGAGGAGCTGGAGCTGATAGAGGGAGCTCATCCGTCTCTCCCCGGGTATGAACCTGCGACGTGTCGGTCTTCAATCCTGCCGGCATAGGGCTTTAACCCACTGCGCCACCGGGGGCTGATGAAGTATATACAGGCAGTCCCCAAATTATGAACAAGATAGGTTCTGTAGGCTTGTTCTTAAATTGAATGTGTATGTAAGTTGGAACATATACAAGCTTTGGATAGCATAGGGAAGGGTAAATACCCCTGAGGAGTTTGTTTTTTCTGTCTGTGCACATGTTTAGAAGATTTCATCTCACTTTCTGTCTTGGTGATATTTGGATTTTGAAAAAATTGGCTTGTAGAAACAAGAGTTGGTGAAAAAGCTTCAGTTGAGACACCTTTTCCGCATGATAATTACTCTTCCAGTGGTGAATTTCCCTTTCAAGTGGTAGATTTATCTCACTTTCTGTTGTCTCACCCCTGTTTTTAACTATAAGTCATTTGTAAGTCAGATGTATGTAACCCAGGGACAATCTGTATTTCAGTATACTTACTTCCCAAATTCCTAAGCCTAAAGCCACCAAACCTGCCTGGTGAATAGCAAAACAAGCAGCATGTGCCAGCGTTAAGCCTTCCCTGTTTTGTCCTCACTCCCTCTTGCATATTTCCTGATCAGGAAAGGGAAAGGGCGAGAAAGGTTGGGAATCTCTCCTATTATTTCTTTCCCTGATTAATTCCAGGGATCACGTACATGCCAAATTGGGAATACTAGGGTTACAGGTTCCCTGCTCCTACTCTGGGGCTTAAAAATGTGCCTTATTTTGTTTTTCTCAAATAAAATCTTATTGTAAACATAACATCAAATAACAAATAATAATCAAGCTTTTCATCAGTTGTAGCAGATTTTATGCCAGAGCTGGTTATTATTTTCATTTCCTATGAAGTACCACTATTTTCTAAGATAACACTGAAAAAGTAAATTGCGGCTGTTAGAGTCATAAATTGTCCATCATTAGGTTAGTATCTCAAATAACTCAATTGAACTTTAGCTGTTGCCATCAATTAGTATTAATTGATTTGTTTGCTGACTCATTTTGCCTCCCGCATGAGAATAATCAGAAAATCATTTGTCTACCTAGGCCTTAATTGGAGACTTGGAGAACACAAAATAAACAAAATATTTAATGCTGTCATAGTAAAGCAGTAAAACTAGCCATACAAGGCAGTTTTTGAAGTAGTCTCAAGTCTATACCACACAACAAAACAATGAAAAATATAACAAAACCATGTATCTGTATTTGTTTTGCTTTATTAAGCAGGAATGGTATGAAATGGACTATGGATCACAGTCAACCAATCTACAGCACAGAGCAATGGATTCAAACTTTTAAACCCTCTCTACACTGCCATATAAAATCCAGATTATCTGCTTTGAACTGGATTATAAGGCAGTGTAGACTCATATAATTCAGTTCAGAGCAGATAATGTGGATTATTTGCTTTGATAATCTGAATTATATGGCAGCGTAGAAGGGACCTAAGTCCACCTGAATATTAGGAAGAACTTCCTGATGCTAAGAACTATTCAGCAATGGAATACACTGTCTTGATGTCTAGTGGAGTTTCCCTTTTCTGGAGTTTTTAAACAGAGCCTAGATGGCTATCTGTTGGGGGTGTTTTATTGTGTATTTCCAAATGGCAGGGGTTTGGACTACATGGCCTTGGGGTCTCTTCCAATGCTATTGTTAGAGACCCGAAATTGGGTCTTCTTAGGTCCACGTCGTGGGAGCATGAAAGGAAGGAGACAGTCCCAATGAAATATTAAAAAAACAAGGTTTTATTTTAGTTTCTTCACGAAGAAGACGGACAGCCAGGCAACATACACAGATGCTACCCTTCAAGTGACTGCCGTGCCCCCTTGGCTTTTGATCACTAAATATATAACCTCAAGTAAACAAGAACATTTTTTTGTCATGGAAAGTACTCTCTTTCCAGCCCCCTTTCTTGACCTTTTGATGGAAAGTACCTTCTTGTACATGCGGCCTCTGTGCTTCAAAAACAACCTTTGAAGTTAACCACAACACATCCTGTGTAAGAAAAGTACCTCTACATATCACATCTTGTTTCTTAAAAACATTTTCTTCCGTGCTGCTCTTTTTCTACAGAGAAAGGGTATATCTCTCTTTTGCTGTTAATTTCATTCAAAGCCCCTTACTTAATTTCACTCAGAGACCCTTGAAGCCTCCTTCACTATGATTCTAGCAATCACTATAGACCTTTGTGTTCCATCTCACAAACCTGGCAGATGCAGGATCTAGTACTAGTCCTCAAACTAAGGCCCGGAGGCCGGATACGGCCCTCCAAGATCATTTACCCAGCCCTCGCTCAGGGTCAACCTAAGACTGAAATGACTTGAAAGCACACAACAACATAAACAAGAAGAAGAAGAACAACAACAGCAACATTCAACAACAACAACAATCATCTATCTCATCAGTCAAAAGCAGGCCCACACCTCCCACTGAAATACTAATAAGTTTATTTTTTGTTAAAATTGTTCTTCATTTTAATTATTGTATTGTTTTTAAGTGTTTTCTTTTTGCATTCCAAATAAGATATGTGCAGTGTGCATAGGAATTCATTCATGTTTTTTCAAATTATAATCCCGCCCTCCAACAGTTTGAGGGACCGTGACCTGGCCCTCTGTTTAAAAGGTTTGAGGACCCCTAATCTAGTACATCTATCTAATACCTCGTCATGAGCTCAATGAAGAAATGGCAGGGTATGAATAATGCTTGTATATAAATGAATGAAAAAGTTCATATTTCAGACAGTTTTTATAATCTTGTTTGTTGAGGTTATTCTAATATGTTATCGAAGGCTTTCATGGCCGGAATCACTGGGTTGTTGTAGGTTTTTCCGGGCTATATGGCCATGTTCTGGAGGCAATTTTTCTCCTGACGTTTCGCCATAGATGCAGGTGAAACGTCAGGAGAAAAATTGCCTCCAGAACATGGCCATATAGCCTGGAAAAACCTACAACCCATATTCTAATATGCTTTCGTAGGATGCAAGGGAATTAAAGCACAGCTAAACCCCATTGATTGTAATAAAAACTCTGAACTTTCAACTGAGATGGTAATGTTAGTTTTCACTTACTGGGCCTCTTGTATTGATCCGCCAACGCAGTGAAACCTTTCTGGTACAGTCTTCCAGTCTTTAGCCATTGTAACCATTGCTCCAGCATCAAGGACTCCGTAACCAAACAAGTGGTTGAATTCCAGGCCAACACCATTTCTCCGCCACTGATGAACTTCATCATGAAGCTGGTTTCTTTTGGAGGTAAGCACTGTCAAATGTTGCATGTCTCTCCAGGTCAGATCCGTACTATAAGAGAGCAAGTGGTGATAGACAGCCTCCTTAGAAAGCATAATCGGAAAAAGGCCATTGCCTACTAATTGCAGTCAATAGAAATATTATAAGTTTATTAGTATCAATAAAAAGATGTTTAGGAAGATACAAGCAAGTATTTCAGTTAATTAGAACCTTTAATCAGATCTGCTTGCAAATTTCTGGTTGAGCACTTCTTATCCACAATATTTCAGAACAGAAGTGTTGAAGGATTTCAAGTTTTTTTTTTAATTTAAGAACTCCTGTATGTGCATATATTTGCATAATGATATTATGGAGATATTTACCCAACTCTAAACAAGAATATTAGCTTCTGTTTCAAATATACCATATACACATACCCTGAAGATAATTTTAGAAATGTTTAATAATTTTGTATAAAATTAATTTTCTGCATGATACAAAGTTTATCGACACTGAATCATTAGAAACCAAAAGTGGCCAATTTTGCATTTTTGGCATTCTAAAATAATGCCCATCATGTATCATATATATGGCTTCAACTCAGCCATTTCTTCCATTCTCTTTTTATATAAAAATACTGTTATTCTTTCTCCAAAACCCTGTAATTTTCTGAAACATCAGCAAAAGAACACATAATTTGAGTATACAGTCCAAAGTAAGACTGTTCTGTGATAAAATGATTCAATTTTTCAGTAAATGGCTCTCTCAATAAAGGATATCCTGAAAGAAAAGACATTATGGCATCATCAACATGAACAACTTTAAAAGGGGATTGGAGAAACTCAAGGAGGATAAGGCTGCCAGTGGCTACTAGATAGATATGTTTCTCAACTGGCACCAGACACAGGACCCTTCTGCATATCAGCAAGTGGGGAGCCCGAAAAGGACAGTGCTGTTTCATTCATGTCCTGTTTCAGTGTTTTCTGTCTGGACCCTTCTACACTGCCATATAAAAAACAGATTATCAGCTTTGAACTGAATTATATGGCAGTGTAGACTCATGTAATTCAGTACAAAGCAGATAATGTGGATTATCCTGGACTATATGGCAGTGTAGAAGGGGCTTCTGTCAGAGTGCAGAACTATTTTGAACTAGGTTGTTGTAGGTTTTTTTGGGCTATATGGCCATGTTCTAGAGGCATTTCTCCTGACGTTTCGCCTGCATCTATGGCAAGCATCCTCAGAGGTAGTGAGGTCTGTTGGAATTAGGAAACAGGGTTTATATATCTATGGAATGACCAGGGTGAGACAAAGGAGTCTTGTCTGCTGGAGCTAGGTGTGAATGTTTCAACTGACCACTTTGATTAGCATACAATGGGCTGACTGTGCTTGGAGCAATCTTTTGTTGAGAGGTAATTAGATGTCCCTGCCTGCTTCCTCTCTGCTGTTGTGCTGTTGCAATTTTAGAGTTTTTTAATACTGGTAGCCAGATTTTTTTTTCATTTTCATGGTTTCCTCCTTTCTGTTGAAATTGTCCACATGCTTGTGCATTTCAGTTGCTTCTCTGTGTAATCTGACATGGTGGTTGTGAGAGTGCTCCAGCATTTCTGTGTTCTCAAATAAAATGCTGTGTCCAGGCTGGTTCATCAGGTGCTCTGCTATGGCTGATTTCTCTGGTTGGAGTAGTCTGCAGTGACTTTCATGTTCCTTGATTCGTGTTTGGGCAATGCTACATTTGGTGGTCCCTCTGTAGACTTGTCCACAGTTGCATGGTATACGGTAGACTCCTGCAGAGGTGAGAGGAACCCTCTTGTCCTTTGCTGAATGTAGCATTTGTTGGATTTTCTTGGTGGGTGTGTAGATAGTTTGTATGTTGTGTTTCCTCATCAGCTTCCTTATGCGATCCATGGTTCCCTTGATGTATGGCAAGAACACTTTTCCTCTGGGTGGATCTTCATCTTGACTCTCCTGGCTTGTTCTTGGTCTTGCAGCTCTTCTGATGTCTGAGGTGGAGTAACCATTGGCCTGTAGAGCCCAGTTGAGGTGGTTCAGTTCATCTTGGAGGAGGTGGGGTTCGCAGATTCTTTTTGCATGGTCTGCCAAGGCTTTAATGGTGCTTCTTTTCTGACTTGGGTGATGGTTGGAGTTTTTATGTAGATATCTATCTCTGTGTGTGGGTTTTCTGTAAATGGTGTGACCCAATTGTCGATCTGGTTTGCGGATGACTAGGGTATCTAGAAAAGGCAGTCTTCCTTCATTTTCTTTTTCCATGGTGAACTGGATGTTTGGGTGGATGCTGTTAAGATGGTCCAGGAACCTGTTGAGTTCTTCTTCTCCATGGCTCCAAATGGTGAAAGTGTCATCCACATATCTTAACCATATTGTGGGCTTTTTTGTTGCTGTCTCCAGGGCTTGTTTTCCAAAGTGTTCCATGTAGAAATTAGCTATGACTGGGTTGAGAGGGCTCCCCATAGCTACTCCACCTTTCTGTTCATAGAACTCATTGTCCCACTGAAAGTAGCTGGTGGTGAGGCAATGGTGAAACAGAGCTGTGATGTCTTCTGAGAACCTCTGGTTGATTAGTGCAATGGTGTCTGCTACCGGGACCATGGTAAATAGAGACACCACATCGAAGCTGATCAGTTTGTCGTTGGTATTTAGCTTGAGATTGCTGATTTTTTTCTATGAAGTGGGCTGAGTCCTTGATGTAGTGTGTAGTGAGCCCAATATGGCTTTGTAACTGTGCAGCAAGAAATTTTGCTAAGTCGTACGTGGGGGATCCAATGGCACTCACGATGGGTCTGAGTGGGGTGGAGTCCTTATGGATTTTTGGGAGTCCATAAAGCCTAGGTGGAAGGGCTTCCGATTTACATAGCTGTTGTCATATGTCGAAGTTGATCAAAGAGTTCTTAATCAGAGTGTTGGTCTTCCTGGTTATTTTGGCAGTTGGGTCTTGTTTAAGTTTAATCCTTAGTTTGTAGCCCTGTGACAAAAATGTGGCAACACTATAGTCTTGCCCAGTGGCACTTCTGGCTTCCAGACACATAGTCTGATTAGAAGTTGAGAAGTAAAAACATATACAAGAGCTAGACAGTGTTCAGAGAAGCATCAAAATAGACATATATGAACCAGCTGGTGATCCTAACATGCTTTTCCTGCATGGCAGAAGGGAGTTGCACTAGATGGGCTATGTGATATCTTCTAGAAAAAATAAGGATGCTTGGGGTTGTATCCAGAAATTTCTGCACAATTCCCACTCCTGTTGTAGAAAAAACTTGACCTATACAGGCTAGGCTGCTCCATTATGTCAGGGGAAGATTTAGAGCATGCTTGCTCCTCTACATTTGCTGGAGTTAAGGGTGCAAGACCCCTACAAAATGAAAATCCCCAAAATAAAAATAATGCTGTCACTTTACCTGGGAAAAGGCCTCTCTAGAAAACCCCCAGTTCCAGTCTAGGACATTTTATGGTCAACCTAGAAATTCCTGGGAAGGTGTTCTCTCTAGAAATCTCTAGGTGCTCTAGCATGACTTTAACTCTGGTAGAAAGCAACTATAAAGTTGCCCTGAAGTCCTAGAGATTTAAACCAAATCCATGAAAAATCTGCAAAATCACCCCTGCTTTATAGGTCCTGCAGCCTTAAGAAATCTCAGAGCATTTGGGGGATCCAATTCACCCAGCATATTTTTTTTTTAATCATTACCATCTGAATTATGACAATGCCTGGCTTGAGAGCAGTACGTGTGAAAAAGATCTTGGCGTCTCCGTGGACAACAAGTTAAACATGAGCCAACAATGTGACGTGGCAGCAAAAAAGCCAATGGGATTTTGGCCTGCATCAATAGGAGCATAGTGTCTAGATCTAAGGGAAGTAATGCTACCCCTCTATTCTGCTTTGGTTAGACCACACCTGGAATATTGTGTCCAATTCTGGGCACCACAATTCAAGAGAGATATTGACAAGCTGGAATGTGTCCAGAGGAGGGCGACTAAAATGATCAAGAGTCTGGAGAACAAGTCCTATGACAAGTGGTTTAAAGAGCTGGGCATGTTTAGCTTGAGGAAGAGAAGGCTGAGAGGAGATATGATAGCCATGTATAAATATGTGAGAGGAAGCCACAGGGAGGAGGGAGCAAGCTTGTTTTCTGCTTCCCTGGAGACTAGGACGCAAAACAATGGCTTCAAATTACAAGAGAGGAGATTCCATCTGAACATGAGGAAGAACTTCCTGACTGTGAGAGCCGTTCAGCAGTGGAACTCTCTGCCCCGGAGTGTGGTGGAGGCTCCTTCTTTGGAAGCTTTTAAACAGAGGCTGGATGGCCATCTGTCAGGGGTGATTTGAATCTATTCCTGCTTCTTGACAGGGGGTTGGACTGGATGGCCCATGAGGTCTCTTCCAACTCTTTGATTCTATGATTCTATGGCAGATGGTACAGGGTAGCAAAGGCAAGGACAAACAGACTGAGAGACAGCATTTATCATAAAGCTGTAACTATATTGAACTCTATAGCTTCGCATTGATGTGGCATTGGGGGCTTTGCAGTGGTGGTGGGAGTGTGGAGGGATGGGTGTGTTGTTTTGTGATGTGTGCTGGGGAAAGCATTTAATTCCATTGTATAATGACAATAAAGTTAAGCTATTCTGTTCTGTTCAAATGTGGAGGGGTGACTATCATGACAAGATTGTGTCACTTCCTTTCTGTAGATTGTGCGATCAAGGACAGAGAAAAGCGCTTGAGGAATTTAATGCCTAATGTGCTAAAATAAAATGTGCACTTTGACTGTAGAAGGTGGGTAGGAAAGCTATTTGCCATCCCACCTAATGCAGCAAAATAGATTTGGACAGCTAAGAATATGTATACATGAGCAAAATACATAACCTATTGAAGAATAAGCTGTTTAATGTAAAGCTTTAGTTAGATAACATAGAATTTTGGATTTCAGCTTATACAAGCTTAAGAGGTTTGCTTATAGCCCTAAATAGAGGTTATTTAAGCTCTTAACAATATAATTGATGGCTGTTTTCACCCACTTTGCCTCCAGCGCAAGTGCAAACACTCCCGCAGCTTCTGGTGCAGCTGCAGATGTTCCAGAGTGGCGTAATGTACAGTTGCCATATAAATCGGTTGTAGCCTGTAACAGAGCAGAGAAAGAAGGAAATGTGAGGAAACAACCTTGCTCTCCTTAAAGAGGCATTAAAATTTTGTGAAGGAAAATTGCTCCTTACCCTAAGGGCATTAGTTTTATAGCCTTGAATTCCTTTCAATTACAGAAAAGCAGAGAGTTCAAAGGAGTGTTATTTTTTCAAAAATAGAAAACCATTAATTCCAATATCTGTGAGCCTGCTACCCGCAATTCCACCTAACCACATCCAACAAAATATGATCTCTCTAGGAATATTCTAGGTCCACTGGGTGAGCCTATGTTATGATTCCACCAGAAGTTACTACAGAGTTGCTTTAGAGCAGTGGTTCTCAACCTGGGGGTCGGGACCCCTGGGGGGGTCGTGAGGGGGTGTTAGAGGCGCACCAAAGACCATCAGAAAACACAATATTTTCTGTTGGTCATGGGAGTACTGTGTGGGAATTTTGGCCCAATTCTATCATTGGTGGGGTTCAGAATGCTCTTTGTTGGTGAACTATAAATCCTAGTAACTACAACTCCCAAATGTCAAGGTCTATTTTCCCCAAACACCACCAGTGTTCACATTTGGGCATACTGAGTATTCGTGCCAGGTTTGGTCCAGATCCATCATTGTTTGAGTCCACAGTGTTCTCTGGATCTAGGTGAACTACAACTCCCAAACTCAAGGTCAATGCCCAGCAAACCCTTCCAGTATTTTCTGTTGGTCATGGGAGTTCCGTGTGTCAAGTTTGGTTCACTTCCATCCTTGGTGAAGTTCAGAATGCTCTTTGATTGTAGGTGAACTATAAATCCCAGCAACTACAACTCCCAATTGACAAAATCCTACTAGTATTCAAATTTGGGCATATCGGGTATTTGTGCCAAAGTTGGTCCAGTGAATGGAAATATATTCTGCATATCAGATATTTACATTACAATTCACAACAGTAGCAAAATTACAGTTATGAAGCAACAACGAAAATAATGTTCTCGTTGGGGGTCATCACAACATGAGGATCTGTATTAAGGGGTCGCGGCATTAAAAAGCTTGAGAAACACTGCTTTAGAGGCTCTAGCAAATTCATAGTGAGGATACTTCTTTAACAATTTAAGCCTTCCAAGGCACCTACTGTATGGTAATTTCCAGCAGAAGTCATTCATTTTATTAGGGATTGCTATTATCCAGTTTCTGTCCACTTCAAGTATTCCACCCATGAACATGGAAGCGTTTCTGACAGTAAAGACAAAGATCCACCTAGAGGAAAAGTGTTCTTTCCATGCATCAAGGGAACCACTGAGCGCTGATTTATTTTATTTATTTCATATCAAAAGCATTTATCAGTTTTATACTGCATAAATCAGTATAAAACTGATAAAAATAGAAGGAATGCAGGCGGCTAAATATCTTTTGACCAAAAATGGGCAACAGCAACGGCATTGTCTATAGCCTCCAACAATTCTTCCTCTGTACATGAGGCAGGCCATAGTGGACAAACATATAGATGCGGAGTTGTCTGTTCTGCTCCACAGTCACACAAAGTGTGGGATTCATATAGGTAGTTTTCCAGGTTGTCTGTTGATCTGCCCACTCCACTTCTGAGTTTGTTGAGGGACTTCCAAGTTGCCCATTCTTGGTTTGCCCCTGGAGGAAGACCCTCATGGGGGGGCCATCCAGTTGCGGTTTCCTGGTTTAGCTGCCCAGAGGGATACCCTTGCTGTTGCTGGGGGGATGCCAAGAGGAGTGGTAGTTCTCATAAAGCTTTTCCTTGATTTGAGTCTACTGGTAGGAGGCTGGTAGCCATGTAGTGGGTGGCTTTCACAGTGTTCAACCTTATTTCTCTCACATTTAACAGCAACTTCCCATCGCACATTGAAGGGGGGGGGGCAATGCCAGCTAGTGATTCTCAACCTGGGGTCCCCAGATGTTTTTGGCCCACAACTCCCAAAAATCCCAGCTAGTTCACCAGCTGTTAGGATTTCTAGGAGATGAAGGCCAAAAACATCTGGGGACCCCAGGTTGAGAACCACTGTTGTAGAGTTTATCAACAGGTGTTGGTTTAAGACATCCTGTGATTATTCTGTATGTTTCATTCAATGCTATGTTCACCTGTTTTGCATGGGCAGACTTATGTCAAACAGGGCAGGCACACTTGGTGGTTGAGTACGACAAGTCCAGGAAAGCTGATGAAGAAACACAACCAACAAACAATCTACAGACCCAACAAGAAAATTCAATAAATGCTATGTTCAGCAAAAGATAAGAGGGATCCTCTAACCATTGCAGGAATCTATTATAGCTGTGGACAAGTCTACACAGGGACTACCAAACGCAAAGCCCAAACATGAATCAAAGAATATGAAAGTTACTGCAGACAAATTCAACCAGAGAGGTCAGCTATAGCAGAACACTTGATAAACTAATCTAGACACAGAATATTATTTGAGAACACAGAAATGCTGGACCACTCTGACAACCACCATGTCAGACTACATAGAGAAGCCATTGAAATCTACAAGAACATGGACAATTTCAACAGAAAGAAGGAAACCATGAAAATCAACAAAATCTGGTAACCAGTATTAAAAAACACACCGTCTGGTAACCAGTATTAAAAAACACACAGACAGTATATAAAAAACGCCATTCAGAAACAGGGGGATTCCAGAAAGCAAATGATTAAATGCCAGTGAACAAACAAACAAAGGATACTTCCAGGCACAACACCTCACTTGCCTAATTTCCAATCGACTTCTGAACAAACCTCTGAGGATGCTTGCCACAGATGCAAGTGAAATGTCAGGGGAAAATGCTTCTGGAACATGGCCATACAGCACAAAAATCTCACAGCAATCTAGTGATTCTGGTCATGAAAGCCTTCGACAACACAGAGTTTATTTGTTCATCGAAGGGACTTTGTATCCCAATTTTTCAGTTGCTGTTATTCAACAAATGCCATCTTCTTTTGTCACACATGGGTTTCTCTCTCAGAAGGATTTCTCACAAGTTCTGGGAAAAAACAGCCAATCAGGTGGCTTGACATCATATGGGGAGGTGGGTTACTTCCCACATGGAAATAGATCTGTACATTGCACTGTACAGTTGTAAAACTACTTTGGAAAGGTTATAAACACTAGGCCAGTTAAGAGGAAAGCTTAAAATGTTATAAGGTGTGTTTGTATGGAGGTTGTGAGGAAACAAGGTTGCTCAATGGGTCGGAGCACTTTACCTTGAGAAATTTCTATCAAAAGATTTCAAATAAAATGCTTTCAAGGAAAACCTTGGCCACAGTACATAATGAACAATTTTGATCTTGTACATTCTTTCTGAGCTTGGAAACTAAGCAAGGTCAGTCTAGGTTAATACTTGAACAGGAGACCACCAATGAATACCAATTGCTATAGTCTGTATTTCATAGGAAAAAATCTGGAAAAGCATCTCTGAGCATTCCTTGCTTAAGAAAACCCTATGAAATCCACAAGGTTATCATAAGTCAAGAGGCAACGTATCTCAGCCTATCAGCCCACCAGGACCCTAAGATCTTCTGGAGAGTCCCTGCTCTCTGTCCCTCCAGCTTCAGAAGTGCGGCTGGCGGGAACGAGAGACAGGGCCTTCTCTGTGGTGGCCCCTCGGCTTTGGAATGCCCTCCCTATAGAGATAAGATCAGCTCCCTCGCTGTTGGTATTTCGAAAAAAACTTAAGACATGGATGTTTGAACAAGCATTCGGGTAATCCGGTGCGATGAAGTTGATGACAAGGACTGGTAATTATTGACGATGAATTCGGATTATGATTTTAACTAAGAGATGCATTGGTCGGTATTGGTGGCCCGATACTGTGTACTGTATATGTTTTTTTATGCTTTTAAATTGTTTGATTATTGTTGTTTTTAAGTACTGTTAACCGCAATGAGTCGCCGTTGTAGGCTGAGATATTGCGGTATATAAGCATACAAAATAAATAAAATAAATAAATAAATAAACTTGGCGGTCCACACAAATATGGATAATGCATATGGATAGTGTTTGCCACAGAAGGGAATCTGTGTTACTCACCACACCAGCTTCAGGGTTTCTCTTCCTCCCATTGCTAAAAGTAGATGCCAAAGTTGACGAGCAGCTTTCATCATACAAAGCTGTTCGGCCATCATTAATAGCTGAATTGATGGAAATGGTCCACATGCTTGAAGCATAACCATCGCAGTTGCAGTCATCGTAACTTCCTCCATCCCCAGAGGCCCACACATAGATGCTTCCCTTGCCACCACGGCCCTGAAAAATAGGGAGGAATGCACATTGTTAGATTCAGTCTGTATAGAAAGACCCATTTGATACTGTGCAGTGTATGGAGGAGCTGCTGGCATAGAGAAACATGGATGCAGATAGATAAATGCACTGCTATATAAAATAATAGGCACATTGAAGGTTGTACATTCAGGGCACTCTTCTATCATTTGTATCTTTATTTTCTCTGTACCACAAAGATTTTTCCAGCAGGTAAATACATTAGAGGTAACTGATCTGGGACCAATGGAACAGAATTGGTATTTTATAATTTGGTAGGCCACTTGATTATCTGGCAGCAAGATACAATTCAAAAAGTGTGCTCAATTGAGTCCCTACTATGCTAATATGACCGGGTATCATTACTGATACATATTCAATACTCAGGGATGATTTCCTTTCAATGGTTAGCTAATAGCCTTGTTGTTTCCTCCATCTTTTGTACATTAAAATTGTCTACAAGGCCGATGAAGAATTATTTGGATCTTACATTTTTGACCATTTGACTTCCAAGCAATGTTAGGATGATTGAAATTTCCTCTTACTGTTGGTAATTTGTTTTAAGAAGGCATCATCCAAATCTTCAGTCTGGTATGATAGCCTATAATACATAGAGATTCATCCCACCAAGTTTCAGTGATGCCTATTAAATCAAATGTGCCTTCCTGTGCATGTGGAAACTCTCAAAGTGAAGAGAAATATGGCAAAATTATGAATTATCCCCTGCATCAATGAAATTCACAAAAACTCAATATTTCTATTATAACCCTATAGTTGTAACATAATGTTCAGTCATTCTGTTGTTTTTGAAGTGTTGTTTATGCTCCCTTTAGAAAATGGCAGCTAATTCCAGGCAACTATCATTGAATCCTTGGGACAATAGGGGGAAGAAAGCATATAAACATCTTTATAAAATGTAACAAGATAAAGTTCAGAGGCAGTCACCTCTCCGTAACACTGCCGAGGCATTTCTGTGAGAGCAAGAAGGTTGGGCAAATCCCTCTGGTTGTTTTCCAGCCACGCAGTCATCAAAAATCCATTGTTCATGTATGCAGATAGTTTCCCATGCTGGCCCAAATAAACCCAGGATTATTTGTCTACTATGTTTCCCCAAAAACAAGACACTGTCTTATATTTATTTTTCCTCAAGAAGACACTCTATGGCTTATTTTCAGGGAATGCCTTATTTTTTATTAAGTATGGTACAACAACCAAGCAACCAAGATACGCATAGTTAAAGCAATTATATTCTGTGTAGTACCCTATGAATGTGAGAGCTGGACCATAGGGAAGACTGAGTGAAGGAAGATTGATTCTTTTGAACTGTGGTGTTGGAGGGAAGTTCTGAGAGTGCCTTGGACCACCAAAAGATCCAACCAGTCCATGCTTCAAGAAATAAAGCCCAACTGCTCATTGGAGGGAAGGATAGTAGAGGCAAAGATGAAGTACTTTGGCCACATTATGAGGGGACAGGAAAGCTTAGAGAAGACAACGATGTTGGGGAAAATGAAACGAAAAAGGAAGAGGGGCCGACCAAGGGCAAGATGGATGGTATCCTTGAAGTGACTGGCTTGACCCTGAAGGACCTGGGGGTGGTGACGGCCAACAGGGAGCTCTGGCATGGGCTGGTCCATGAGGTCACAAAGAGTCAGAAACGACTGAACGAATAAACAACAAATTGTACAACAATCTACAGCAGTTTTACTGGTGTTTGTGGGGGGTGAGAGAGACCCACAGACTTTTGCTGGTTGGTGCCGGGTGAGAGAAATTTCATCAATTTCACCAATTACATTTAAGGTGAGTGAAAATTCTGTCATGAAAATGTCTGGTATCAGATTTAAAACTAATGAGGGCACAATAAGCTTCAAGTACAGGACAAAATTCAGCCCTGAGGGTCTAATCTACACCATCTGGATCTGAACCATTGTGGGTTATGGGGTGATCACACCAAAATAGCTACATAGAGACTGGAAGATTCCCATGGACACCTTCCAGATGAGAAGGCAAGTGGAACATGGGAGAACCCACTGTGCCTCTGGTTTATAATATGAACTCTTGTTATTTGCTTCCTGTGCCTATGAGTAATATGATTGGCAGGGCCGTAGCCAGAAAAAAATTTCGGGGAGGGTTGACAATGTGGGGGGGGGGGTGAAAATGGGGGGGGAGGGTTGAAAATTTCAGTGGGGAGGGGGGTTGAAACCTGCCTCCTAGCTCACGCTGAAGCAAAGAGCACAGCAGGGGGCAGAGCAGCCTTCAATAGCCTGCAGCTCCACCCTTGTCAACCACCTCCACCAAGTCTGGCCTCCTTAATGAGTTGCTGGTTGCTTCACTGCATCGGCTATTGCTGCAAGTAATGACAGTGTGAATAAATTGTCAATATTTGCTTGAGATAGTGCTTGCAGTTCTGGAGGGACTCTTATTTTTGCATCTCATAGACTTAGCATGGGGATTTGGTTAACCAGTTAAAATTCATGAGTAAACCAGGTTTTTTTTTAAAAAAATCTGAAACATTTCGGGGGGGGGGGTTTGAACCCCTAAAACCACCCCCTCGCTACAGGCCTGATGATTGGGACAGATGGAAATCATACTATTGCCAATAATAAGAGGTAGCCAATGCATTCAACACGTCTCCTTAAGTACACAGAAGATCAATATTGACATTAGAGGAGGGAAATATAAGCTCTGGACCACTTATTTGGTCCTGAGAAGAAATCCCTCCCCCTCACCATAGTTTTCAATCCTACTCAAGGTGTCCACTCACAATGATTTCCCACTTAATTTAATTGGACTTAATTCCAGGTTAAAAATTTACAGAATTACAACCAAAACTTGCCTTTCATTCATGCTGTTTTGTGACTTACACAGTTTTATAACTTTGCTATTATTTTTCAAGCACATTCCCTTCCACCTTCAAGCAAGAAAAAATCCAGTTACTTCTAATTCTTTCCAAAGAAAAATGAGAAACACCCAGCAAACCCAATTACAATGCCATGATTAGATTATAAATTCTTAATGCTCCTCTCCAGGTGATTTCCACCCTTGCAGAATTTTCATCCTTAGGCACAAACATGTTATTGAAGCTGCATAATGTTCACCAACAGGACTGAGAAGAGGGAAAAGGCTACCTTCTACATACTGTGTTGAAGCCAGTTTACTACTCACATAAATGAGCTGTCCATGACTGCCTTCATTTTGAAGGAGATATAAAATAAAATTAAAAAGCCCACATACCACACACAAGAAAAAATCAAATGACAAAGCCTGGTTAATTAGGTTACTAAAGACTAAAGACTTCTGTCCTTTCCAGCAGGGATATTGGAAGGATGCTCGAAATGAAGCATATAAATGAGGCAATATAACACATTTACAGATGTTCTGTGGCCTATTAAAATGGAAACTAAAGCATGGTGCTTCTAAGCTGAATTGCCATATTTATAGGTGGAGCTTTCATGATCTGTCCCCAAAGTCTATATTATTTCAAGAGTACTTTGCTCTGTATTAGCTCATAAATGAACTTGTGGTGAGTCAAGCCACAGGTTTCTTCTTAACTATATATCATTATGTATTGTGTCTGAATGGAGGAGAATATAGCATGAATGGGATCATAGAATCATAGAATCATAGAGTTGGAAGAGACCTCATGGGCCATCCAGCACAACCCCCTGCCAAGAAGCAGGAAAATTGCATTCAAAGTACCCCCGATAGATGGACAGCCAGCCTCTGTATAAAAGCTTCCAAAGAAGAAGCCTCCACCACACTCCGGGGCAGAGAGTTCCACTGCTGAACGGCTCTCACAGTCAGGAAGTTCTTCCTAATGTTCAGATGGAATTTCCTTTCTTGTAGTTTGAAGCCACTGTTCCGCGTCCTAGTCTCCAGGGAAGCAAAGAACAAGCTTGCTCTCTCCTCCCTGTGACTTCCTCTCACATATTTATACATGGCTATCCTGTCTCCTCTCAGCCTTCTCTTCCTCAGGCTAAACATGTCCAGCTCTTTAAACCACTTATCATAGGGTTTGTTCTTCAGACCCTTGATCACTTTAGTTGCCCTCCTCTGGACACATTCCAGCTTGTCAATATCTCTCTTGAATTGTGGTGCCCAGAATTGGACACAATATTCCAGTGTGCTCTAACCAAGGCAGAATAGAGGGGTAGCATGACTTCCCTGGATCTAGACACTATACTCCTATTGATGCAGGCTAAAATCCCATTGGCTTTTTTTGCTGCCGCATCACATTGTTGGCTCATGTTTAACTTGTTGTCCACGAGGACTCCAAAATCTTTTTCACATGTACTGCTCTTGAGTTATGCGTCCCCCATTCTGTATGTTTGCATTTCATTTTTTCTGCCTAAGTGGAGTATCTTGCATTTGTCACTGTTGAACTCCATCTTGTTAGTTTTGGCCCATCTCTCTAATCTGTCAAGATCGTTTTCAATGATTCCAAAGGTTCCTGACATCTTCTGTCTGGAAAATTACAGATGCATGGTCCTGGAAGGCCAGTAGAGCTGGATTGGACGTCCAGATACTACTCCACTAACATATAAAATGCACTGTATGAGCCTGGGCTTGCTCTTTCATAACTTGACCTACTTCACAGAACTGTTATAAATGAAAATTATGGGTAAATTTAGGGATATAAATGAAAAAGAACAAACATCACTATTGTATTGTCGAAGGCTTTCATGGCCGGAATCACTGAGTTGTAGGTTTTTTCAGGCTATGTGGCCTTGTTCTAGAAGCATTTCTCCTGACGTTTCGCCTGCATCTATTGTAAACCCATTTTCCAGACCTCACTACCTCTGAGGATGCTTGCCATAGATGCAGGCGAAACGTCAGGAGAGAATGCCTCTAGAACATGGCCACATAGCCCGAAAAAACCTACAACAACCCAACATCACTACTACTTTCAACAAGAGAGAAGTTGGAGTAGGTCTGAAGGTAAAAATACAATTCATTTTTAGGAGACAGGCTTGTTTTTTGGATCAGAGAAA